CTATTCCCAGGCAAGGGGGCCTCCACTCTCTCTAGAGTTCCCCTAGACCCTTCCCATACCCTTCTAAATAGTCATTTTATTACACTTTGTGCAATTTGCTTAATTTGAATTTGCCGTCTTTTTCTAGCCGGGACCTTGACTAATATACCACTCAATATCTGTGTAACATTGGGTAATTCCATAACCTCACTTGGCCTCAGTTTTCTCCTCTGTAAAATGGGGGTAATAATAATATCTCCTGTAGAAGGTCACCTTAAGACTCAAACAAGGTTACGCATATTAAGGTACTTTGAACACACAGTAAGGACTCAGTAAATGTTAGGGTAATATTGCAACTACCATGAAGCCCCAGCCTAAACACTACTGTAATTCAACTGTGGTAAGTCACCTCTCATAGTTTAGATTAGGCCTTAATTCAACAATCAAAAAGGCAAAAACAAAAAACAAGAAAAGAAACCTCTTGTGGTAAAATTCCCTTTGAATGTCTCTTAAGTCACCTATTAGAGTATGGTACAGTTATTATTATTTTTTTATTTAGTCCTGCAAAGTAGTTCTTATTCACACTAAATTTGAGAACTGGTGGACTAGACTGAAGAAAGGTAAATCTATATGCAAATGTCACAGCATCTCATCCCTTCTGCTTCCGCTGTAACCATGAACTCCCTAGAGGAGACTGAGAGATGCTGGATGGTTCAGAACCGTTCTAGCTGGTGGGGTTGGCCTTGTTCTGTTCTCATATCAGGGCTCCATCAACTTCATGCTTGGCTAGGAGACCTGTAGTTTGTTGTGAGGATAAAAAGGAGCTAATGGGTCACCCTTTAAGTGGCTTTAGGAGAGGCTAAGTTCTCAAATGAACGCAGTGGAGGGGCCGGCCCAGTGGCTCAGTTGGTTAAGAGCTCGCTCAAGAGTGTGAGCTCTGAGCAACAGGGTCGCCGGTTTGATTCCCGGCCGGAGCTGAGCTGTCGCTGAGCTGCCAACAGGTGGCAGGATGGCTCAGCTAAAAAAAAAAAATCAAATGAACTCAGTGGTAAATTAAATTGGGTGCACGATGAACCTTTCTGGAGCACTCGTGTGCCAGGCTCAGAGCTAAGCATTTCCTGCATGTTATCCCACTTAACCTCACCACAACTCTGAGGTGGCCATCATTATGTGTTCTGGGTTTTAGATGAGGGAGCTGAGAGCCTGAAGAGCCCAGCTGAGGTAGCACAGAGGCTAACGCACACATTAGGGGCAGTATTTAATGCAGGTCTGCCTGACCCAGAGCTGCGTTCTGATCCAGCTCTGAGGTGGTGCAGTATAGTTATTATAATGGCGTTACCCTCTATGTTCTCGTGTATGCAACCTAAGAAGAAAGCTCTCTTTTTATACTTTCTCACATTAGTTGTCAGGAATAACACAGAAGTGTTGGCCTGGATGCATTTTTTAATTCCCTGTATTTGAAAAGAGGAGGATCAGCTTTGTAACATGTCTTCCTTGGTTTTGTCTTTCCAAAGGCTAAACATACCAATTTGTTCCAGCTACTTCCGGGGGCTCTGTTTCTGGACCATTCTCCATCTTTTTGAACTATCTGTAGTCCACTGGTTCCCAACACTGGCTGCATAGTAGAATCAGTCACCTGGGGAAGTTTTTTAAAAAATACCGAAGTCAGAGCCGCATCTCAGACTAACAGACCTGAAGTCTCTGGAAGGTGGCCTGGAGCACTGTTATTTGCTAAAAAGCTCTCTCTGTATATCCCAATGGGCAGCCAGTGTTGAAAAGTGCTGCTCCAGTTTGTTTTAAAAGGAAAAATTGGGAATGTTGGCAGGGCCCCTCTGGTGTGAACAAACAGAATCAGTTCCTTCTAGCTAATGAATATTACCCAGAATTATCTGTGGCATAGTCCACATGATTTTAATAGGCCTTGTCTCCAAGGGCAGCTGAATGCATATCTCTCAAGTATAGGATGGGCTGTCAAAGTTCTCAAACATAGTCACTTACAGAGAAGGTGGCAAAGTGACATCACTATCCCCATCTAATCTGGCCATGCTTGATGATTTGCCTGAATTCTTCAGGTCCTGACCATTGAAAACATAATTGAGTGGGTTTTAAAAAAAATATTTTTTATTGAGATACAATTGACATATAACATTGTATAAGTTTGAGGTATACAATGTGTTGACTTGATACAATTATATACTCCAAAATGATTACCACCATAACTTTAGCTTACACCTCTATCATGTCACATAATTATTTCCTTTTTGTGGTGGGAGCAATTAATATCTAGTCTCTTAGCAACTTTGAAGTTTATAATACATTATCATTGTCTATAATCACTAGGGTACAAGTTTGTACCCTTAAATACCATCTTCCCAATTCCTCCTCCCCGCCCCCTACCTCTGGTAACCACCATTCTACTCTGTTTTTATGAGTTCAGCTTTTTTAGATTCCACATCTAATTGATATCATATAGTATTTAACTTATCTCACTTAGCATAATGCCCTAAGAGTATTTTTTAATTGGATGGTTTAAAAAGTGGAAACAACTGCATTCCTTTTTCTCTTTCCTTTTACTTACCTGTGTTTCTGTATTACCAGGTGCCTTGCCCTTGGCAATGAGTTCTGCTGATTGGTGCCCCTGAGCCTGTGTGTAGATACTGAGGGATTGTGATGGGGGAGTTCCTCCATAATCATCTTAAGGGGGGTTGTGCTGGCACTGCTGGGATCATTAATATCTGGGCCTGGGAAAAATTCCCATGGCTTTGTTCAGCTGCTACCTCAGCAGAAGGGGAAGTCAAATCCCTAACTGTAAAGAGAAAATGACCCTTAAAGGTTTTGCACCTGACAACTTCAGATACAAAGTCATATACCTGCCCTGGGTAGGACTGAAGAGAAGGCAGTGCCAAGCCTAACACCAAGGAGCGAGAAGGTAGTTTTTTATCTACAAATTATTATTTTTTAAAAATCCATGTACCAGATTGCATACATTTAATACAGATTTATATGTTAATTTAATGAGTCAATTTTAAGAAGGAAAATGCAAAATTTGAGGGGTTGTGAGACTCCTAGGATGAATAAGATATATTGTAGATCTGGCTAAACTAATGGAGCAGACAGGAGAGATAGAGGAGGAGAGGAAAGGGAGAGATGGAGGAAGATGTTTGGACTCAGATTTTGGAAAGGGAAGTGAAGGGAGGAGTTGAGCAGACATTTATTTTTGTTTAACTTCCATTTATTTCTCTCCTCTGCCTACTCATCTTTGGATATTGTGCTCAAGAAACAATCCTCCAAGGACCCTGAGATTTAACTGAACAGTTTTTGAGAGTTTACTGGGTGCCAAACTCTAGTTTAAGAGCTTTGCAAATCTTTTACATTTCACTTCATTCTCCTAGCACTGCAAGGTGAAGGCTGTTATTCCCATTTTGCAGATGGGAGGAAAAGTTGAGGAATGTGCCCCAGATGACGCCACTGGAAGGCGGTGAAGAACTCAAGCCCTCAGATACTAGGGCCTGGCATTTAACCACTAAGCTATCCTGCTGGGGCTCCGGTTCCCCAGGCACTGTCCCCAGGATGAAGTCCTCAAGTTTCCATGTGGCCAGACACAGTCCGCATTCTGTCTCTTAACCAGGCACAACCCTGGGGCTAAAGAGCGCCTCCCCCTGGGAAGATGACTGAGGAGACACCACCAGCTCTGAGACCCTGCCTGGAGGAGCCTGGCAAGTTCCAAGCAACAGGCTTGTACTGCATCTCTCTCTCTAGTGAGCCAGCCTGTTTAATTCCCACTGCAGCACTTGTAAAGTGTTTTTTAGAATTACTTTTTTTTTTCAGTTACAGTTAACATTCAATATTATTTTATGTTAGTTTCAGGTAGTGGTTAGACATTTATATAATTTATGCAGTGATCCCAAGATTAGTCCAGTACCCACCTGACTTTATACATAGTTGTTGCAACATTGATTACATTCTCTATGCTTGTGCTTCACATCCCCAACTACCTTGTAACTACCAATTTGTATTTCTTAATCCCTTCACCTTTTTCACCCAGCTCCTAAAGCCCCGCTCCCCTCTGGCAACCATCATTTTCTTCTTTATCTGTGAGTTTCTCTTTTGTTTGTTGGTTTATTTTCTTTTGGGTCCCCTTTTCCAGGCGTGCAAAGTGAGAGTTTCCCTGCCCCGCGGTCACCAAGTCCGCAGGTGGCGGAGCTGTAGGTGTCTGCTGTGTCCCAAAGATAATAAAATCTGCACGGATCTCGTCATTATTATGCAAAGCCGCAGGGAAGGCTTGGACTCTCCCTTGCCAGAGCCCAGCTGTCTCCGTGCGCCTCCCCCGGAGTTTAGAAGACGACTGAGAGCGAAGCCGGATAGGTGGTGACAGGTCCCCTTCCACTAGCCTGGGCCGTCTCTCCAGCGCCTTGCCAGCTAGCGCCCCCGAGGCACATCTCCCTCGGCTTAAAAAAACTACGGCCTTCCAGCACCCCTCCCGCCGCCCCTAGGGAACTGCATTAATATTCATCCCGATGAATAATTGAAGGCCAGAGATTTATTCGGGCCGGCGGGGGAGGACGTGCAGCTGGGTTGCGTTTCGGCCACGCCACCCGCGTGCTTCGGTCGCTTGGGTTCCTCGGGGCCCAGTACCGGGACGTGGGAGGATGGGGGTGGGTGTGCCGCATGTGAGGATGATATTGGGAGTGTGAGCCGGAGCATGTGTGCCAAGGAATGAGGCGGAGCGCCCGGGCCTGCTTGAGGGAGGCGGGGACCGAGTGGCATCCCAAGCCTCCCCGCCATAGCCTGCGCTTCGCCCCGCGCGGGGTGACCCGGGGCCACGAGGGCTTGAGGAGAAACAATAGCGACGACTAAAATCCTGGGCTCCTGCCACCGGCTGGCCGGGCCTTCCCGGGCGACCAGCCGGGCCTCTTTTCTTATTTGGCTCATTTATGGAGAGAGGCTGGGTGGGGGGAGGGATGACTGAGGAGGGACCGCGTTTCCAGATTGGGGGTGAGGGGGCGACAGTTAAAGGAGTCTCCAGAGGCGGCAGCGCGGGTGATGTCAGCTCTCGACGAAAATAGAGAGGGATCGCCTGCAAATCCCCAGCTCCGGCGGAGCTAAACCTTGCAATCCCTCCCGGGCCGGCGCCGAGCCAGGGCGCAGCGGCCGCCACCACCTCCCCGGCGTGCAGACACCCGCACACGCGCGCACGCTCGCACACACGCTCCTGCACACTCACCGCACACACGCGCTTCGTCCTCCCCGGCCACCACCCTCCGCGTCCGCGCTCCACTACTCGCAGCGCCCGCGAGCCCGGCAGCAAACACAGGTGGCAGCGGCGGCGGCGCACCTTTCCTGCGCGCCCTCCCGCACCACCGGGGGCGGCGCTCTCTCCGGGAAGCCTCCCTCCTACCCCCCAGCGCGCCCGGCCAAGCGCTGGCGAGGAGGGCGGAAGGGCGAGCGGGACGCGCGCGGAGGAGAGCGGAGAAGCGGATTAGCGCCCGCAGGAGCCTCCCGCGCCCGCTGAGGCGCTAAAGGGCTTACCCAAGAGGCGGGGTGAAAGGGCGGGGAGAGGCTCCCCCTTAAATACCGCGCTCGGCCTCCATCGCGCGCTCACCCCTGCGCCTGCTCACTCCCTCGCCCGCTGCTGCCGGATTGTGCCGAAGAGGAGGGGGCGTTCCCCGCACCATGGCATCCACGGATGGGTGAGGGGACTTTTCTCTGTACCCGCAGGAAAGCGGGGGGCGCGCGCGGGGCGGTGGTCCCTCGGCCGGGATGGGGACAGAGAGACACCGGCGCCGGGTTTCGGAGACGGTGGGGGCGTGATGACTGGGGACGGGTTGGTGGCGAGGGGATGGGTTTTCTTTCGCGAAGCTTGCCGCTTAACCCTTTGAAGATGCGAGCGATGAAGGGTTGCTTTATTAAAACGGTTCGATGGGGGTGGAAAAGTGTGGCGAAAAAAATTCTCTTGAGGTTACTTTTGAGATTTAAAAAACATTACGGGATTGGGCACGGTGTGAGCCGCAGACGTTGCCCGGGAAGCCGCGCTTGGAGCGCAGCACAGGCTGGAAGGTGGGGACCCGCCAGGATGAATGAGCCAGGACCAGGGCGGGGCGGGGCGAGGACTAGCGCGCGCGGCCTTGAATATCAGATTTGCAGAGTCGCTGAGTAGATGCCCTGCCTGCTCTGAAGGCTCCTTGTCCCTGGATGGCGGAATCTCCCTGGCCAGCTGTAAGGAAGAGTGGAAGAGATTTGGGTGCTTCCCAGGAAGAGGCGGGAAAATAAGTGGCTTGGGACAGGCACAGGAGTCCCCAGACTCCAGCGGGGAAGCGTTGGCTACCCCATTCTTCCCGGTGCTGGAGAGTCCTCTCCTGCCTCCAGAGGCTGCAATTGGATGGAGACTATTCTCAGCGATAAATAATGACAGCTGCCTTTAACAAGAGGGAGATGGGGCTGTGAGGGGCAAGCGGATTCCCCGGAGAGGCAGACCTCAAGGGAAAGGTCCAGAACAACGTCCCTGGACCAGGACCTCCCAGGAAACTTTTCCAGCTCGTTGGGGCCTGAGTAGGAATAAAAGGACTGGTTGGGGAGCTCAGCCCTTTGGTTAATTCACAAAATTGCACTAGCCACTTGCAAGCAATCACTGGACCCATGTTGTGTGGAAAGCGAATATCAGCAGCATCCTGGGCACGGATGGAGTCCTTGATGCTGCTACTTTCCATAGTTTCTCTTTAATAATTTTGCCAACTCCATGGCTTGTTTGGGGGGAAGGGTCTCCTAAGTAGGAGTGAAGAACTAGCTCCAAAATTAGATCTCTAGACTCCAACTTCCAACAAAGGGGAAATATTTCTAAAACCGTCTCTCTGTGTTTAGGAGAAGAATCCATCCTTTCTCTGGCCCCTTGGAGTCCTTTCAAAAAGGTCTGGCATCTTGTAGCATATTTCTTCTTTTTTCATCTGAACAATTCAGCAATGTGGACCTTTTTTATCATTATTTCTCCAAAAAGATGCTCTAGAAAAACACTCTTTACAAGGAGTATGGTATATTGCGCTAAAACTGATCTTTAGCATTAAATATAAGAGCCCATATGGCTCCACCTCAGTGCTGTCCCCTATTTAATTAAACAGTTTTTCATATTAGAAAGGATATTAAGGCATTTCTCGTTGCCTTCAGGGCTCTTCTAGATTTACCCCTGCTTGTAAAGGATAGGTTAGAACACATCTGTGAAAGACGGGGATCATGGTAGTCTTTCAAATCCTGCATCGAACTCACTCCTTATTCTGATGACCAGATAGTAAAGAGAGAGGTTAAGAAACTCCCAAATTAAGTGTGTTTATCTCACCTTTGTCCTACATGGGAGCTGCCAAATGATTTGACATTAAATATAGAGCAGAAGAGATTTTCAGTATTTTTAAAAGACTCACAGTCAGTTAATACCATATTAGTGCACTGTGGATAATTAAGAAAAGATTAGGCAAGGGAACTTGTATTTAGGAGATGAAGACGTTGAGCAAATTTGAAAGGCTAGGAAATATAGAAAGACCTATGACCCGTGATCATTTCAGAGTGGTAACTTGATGAGCAGGTCACATTCTCAGAAACCCTGGTATTTCTTTCCTTCTTCTCTTCCTTTCTTCCATCTCTTCATCCAGATGCATTCGCTGAGTACTTGTTGGGTAGACCTCACGTGCCAGGTTCTCCGAGGGGGCACAAAGACACAAAGACATTAAGGATCTGCGCGCTGGCTTTTAGAAGGCTGGCTTTTGTCAGGGACTTTGGTTAGTAAATTGTTCATATGGTTTGGTGAGATTCTCTTTCCTGGTGTCTTTGGTTAGTGGGCGTCATAAAGGGAAGTTCACCGAGAATTCTCAGGCTGATCTCCTTTGTTAGCCACTGCCTCCTAATAATGTAGAAATTGTTTTCTTGAAACGTACATAGCTAAGAAGGAAGCAAAAATGGTAATAGAGTGATCACATGCTCTCAGTGCATGTATTTTCAGTTCAACTCTGTTTGATCCAGATGTTTCGGGCATGGGATAGGATGGTGCACTGACCATTCTGGTTCGCAATTATTTGGTGATATACTGACAGGCAACATATGTTGATGACCAATTTTAAAAGCATTATTAGAAGCAATTGTGGCGTCTTACATTTGTTTAGCACTCCTCTTTCAAAGCCCATTTGTGTACAACATCACATTTGATTTGTTCAATAGCCATGAAGTAGGTAGTCCCATGCAAATGGGCTTTAAGAATAAATGATATAGAATGTAATGTTATCTTTCCAGAAAGATTCCAGGACTTGGCGGAACTTTGAGGTTATCATCTGGAAATGTCAGTTGTCACTGAATAATATTCTAGGCATGTCTGGTACAGAAAATTACTGGCTTTCTCTCAAGCCTTTGGCATATACACCCCGCAAAATGCCTTTTGGAATAGGCTTTACATCAGCCTGTGCAGTTGGTCTTTGCAAGGCATATTCAAGCATGGTATGGTTACTTGAGGCTTCTGATTATTTGGAATTGTGATTCTTAGCATCCAATGTCTATAAAAGTCAACAGTGGACTCTGGTAGTTACCAGGCCCTGCGAGGTATTTTCTTGCGAAGCAGGGTCTAATTTGATCATTGAGCATTCTTTTTTTTTTTTCTAAATCCGTTGACATGGCTAGAATTATGGTTGTAGGTCCCTGACCCAAATTGGAAAGAGATTATAAGTACTTTGTGGCAGATAGGCTAGTGTTCATTATTGACTGAGTTATATAGTGGAGTGCCCAGATGCTGTAGAGACAGGCATTTTAGAAATATGTTTTTGGGAGTGGGAGGGGTGGCTAGGTCACCATGTATGTCAGGGACCCAAGGCGATCTGTCTTCTGATCAGCTCCCAGGAGCAAAGGGTCAGGCTGAAAGCCAACCATGATGGCTTGGGTTTCAGTGTGACTTAAAAAGCAAGTGAAACAGAAAACTGCTGACAAGAGAAAAATCCTGGCAAGGGAGACCTCTGGATTTGTTATTTCAAGCAAACAAAAGCAAAACATAATGATTGCCTTCTCCCTCCTCCCGGGAATGAGGGTTAGGTTCCTTGGAGGAAGAGCCAATGGGGTGGGCTTATTGGGAACGGAGTGGAGGGCATGGCGGGGCTGGGGTCTGGAGGGGTTAGCATATTGCATGCCTCAGGCTTGGCTGCCGTTTTCATTTCTCATTTTCTCATTTTCAAGAATATAAAAATCAGCCTCCTTGGGTAAAATAGCTATTAGTGGGATATGAGAAAGCCATTTCATGTTGAGTAAGACAGCCTCTTGTGAGTGATTTAGAGCTTAATTCTCAAGAAATAATTTCTAACTCCAAATGAAGCTTGTGAAGTAGAAAAGCCAGGATGTTAAACCCCAAGACAGGCCTGTGCATCAGTCTCAATGGCCACTTCTTACCCTCTTTTATGCAACACGAGTAAGGTGCTGTCTCCTTTGGTCAGATGGGAGGGAACTGTCAGACAAGGAAAAGTCCTTAAGAGATGGTGCTTTGGCTACAGGAACAAGCGATATTGAATAGTGAAGTGTGAGATTTCCGGTTCAGCATGCCATATAGATCCTACAGATCTAGGAGTGCAAAACACTTTTCACAGTTTGGAACACAACACAGGTAGATTTCAATGAAAATCTCCCCTCCCACCTTCCTCCACGGCTGTATCACACAAGGCCCAGTGTCTGGGTTTCCCCCTTAAAAGGTAAACTAAATTGTTTTCCAAACTGGTTTTGATCCCCATGGGACTGACTGGCTTGCCTCTCAGAATGAGCTGAATCTCCTCTTCATTTTAGTCACCTGATATAATTTTTTTAATCAGATAAGACACCGATCATTTAAAACCTTCTAAGCACTAGGAGACAGAAGAGTCATTCTCAAGATAGCATGTTAGTTGGGTTTGCAAGCACTTGTCCTCGAAGTCTGGAAAAATCTAACAAATGCCATCCTCCACCTTGCTTGCAGACTTCTCTTCCGTGCTCTTACCAGCTTGTGGGGGGCAAGCAGGATGTTTCATAGCAAGGGTTTCAGAATCCAGATGAAGGCAAATCTCTTTATTTACCACGATCCTGCGCTTGCTGTCTCCTCCCTCTGCCGGCCCCTCACCCCTCAAGACACCCAGCACCAAGCCCTTGGAATGAATTAATTAAAGGACTGTTTAAAAATATCTCTCCGCTCCATCTCCACGTGCTCCATCATTGATTGGAGGCAGATGGGCCGCAGATTTGTCAGTGGGATAGAAAAGGACTAGCATCTCGTTATAAATCTGTCTGGTTGGCTTCAAACAATGGCAGAAAAGACAATGGGCCGGCTGTATTAAAGGAGAATGAAGGAAAGGCGCAATCTGCACACTTTTACAAAGAATACCTCATTTTCTTAGTCCTTTGTTGTTGTTTTTTAACTTTTGTTTTTCAACGGTGTTGCTATTTATTCACTTACCTTTCATTTACGTATTTATCGAATTTCTCACTTAGACGAGCAGATGTGACGGCTGTCTGTCTGCTGAACTGCCGTCTGGTGTTTTTGGCAATCTCGGCAGCTGCTTCGGATTATAGGCTCATCGAGTGAGGACAGTCCTTTAAACATGGAATGAAGGGAATGAACTCCATTTTGGCGGCTGGACTTGATCTGTGTCAGTCCCGGCTCCCTATAGGATAGATGATGGTACATGTCAAAGACCTTGAATGAAGT